CTTTAACCCTTTCGCTGCGCAATACGTCTGAACGTAGCTACCGCGCCGTGCGCGAAAGTTTATCGCGTGCGAATATATACGTCTGGAGCAGTTAGACCACTTATAGTTTTACATTATGTTGTGTTAAATTACGATTTACAATAAATTTTACGATTTTATTTTGAATAAAATACAGTATATTTACTAAATAGAAACTGAAAGAAACATGAACAATCTTGGTATTATTACCAGTACCTCTTTCCATAAAAATATTTGTTGCAATCGGTATAAGCTCGCCCGCAAAAATTCGCCTTACCAATTGCAATAACCGAGTAACAATGCGCATGGTTGCGAATATATACGGTTTGAGCAGCCTGCTCTAATTTAACTATTCATGCGAATTAATCCGTCTGGAGCAGTTTGAGGCCTATAAATTTTTAGCGAATATATACTTCTGGAGCAGTGAAAGGGTTAAACTGATTTATTTAATGTGTAAAAAATGCCAATTTTTAATGTGTAAAAAATGCCAATTTTACTCAAAATCCATAAACGATATCAAAATTTTGTAAGAGGCAAAAAAATTTTCTAAAATAGTGCTTATTTTTAAAAATATAAATTCTGTTGTCATTGACGTACATACAAAAAAGATACGGGATAACCAGTGGCGCACAGGCACTAGAAAGAGAACATCCTGTATATGTATTCTCACCATTCTCTATATTTACTTTGCCATTATATAAAAAAAATATGTGTACCAAATTTGAAGTTTCTAAGAAAAGCAGTTTTCAAATTATTTGAAGGCTATATCTCAGTAGGCGTGCACTTTTGTATATAGGTAGGTTAGGCTAGTCTTGTTTTCACCCAAGGAACCTGTGGTCAAGCGTTGTCCATCCTTTTCAGGGACACCCTGTATAAACTACGCTATCAAATAAGTTAAGGAGTGGATGACGTTTGCCCACAAATTTTGACATCTGGAAGGTTGTCCTGATCCAGGGGCTTTGCAATCGACATCCTCAAATCTAGCATTGCCATTAACATTATTATTTATTACATTTATTATTTTTATTAAACTGTTATAATAGTTTAAGTAACAAATCGTCTTTTTTTGAGACAGTTTCTTGCTGTGGACGGCCTAACCTCTAAAACTGTGGGCAGTCAACAATTAGATGGATCCTTTTGTCCTGTATATCTAATGGTACCTACTAAAAATACATATACTTAAGGTAAGTATTAAAATCGGGTACCCACTAGATTTTATTGACTTAGTATTTGCATTGCATACAGCCATTTTAAAATTGAAACATATATTGCTCTTGTTCATGTAAAAATTGGAATTTTAGATTTCTCAATTGTGATACCAATCAAACATTAACTTGATGCTTTTTTACCAAGGTACTTTCTTTCTAAGAATGTATATTTTGTTATTTTGGCAAAAACAAAAAAATATAAATCAACATGACTAGGGCTGTCAGAGAGAGCCGCAATTCAATGATGTGTCAAGCAGGTCAACCGAGACATGTGTGAGCCGCTGTCTTTGTTATTGTGGGAATGTTACGTAATTAATTCCTATCTGTTGGTGTTTATGGTGGTGTATTATAGACAATTTAATTTGTTGCTTTTTAATAAATAATGCGTACGCCTATGTTCTGCGGTTCAGTTCTTACAGCCCGAAACATGACCACAAAAATAAACTGAATTAAAAAATACAAAAATTCAATATGACATTGAAAAAAAAAACCACGTTTCCGTTTAAAGTAATAAAATTGAAAATAAAAATTTTGTTTTTTCTTGAAAATCTCAAAGTGAAAATGGGCAAGTCAAATCACTCTTCGGCCTATTATTCGTCACCAAATAATGCTGCAACTTTGGCCTACTATCTATTGTTTTTTAAAAAATGTTTTTAATAAATACGATTTATTCAGAAACAGTTAAAATGATAAAAACCAACTTTTTTTAGTAAAAGGAATAGAGATTTTAAAAAATAATAATTTTTTATGTAGTCAATGGTCAATTATTATTAACTTTTGATTCATTTGATTTCATATAGATTCCAGACCATTCATAATTCAAACCCAAGTTTACCATAGCTCATACACACACACACACACACACATACCATATATTGCATAATTTACAGATTTGCAGCAATATTTTGTTTGAACAATGTACTCAAATATTATTAATACATATAATTCAAGAAATAGACACAAAGTTTTTTACATTTGCATCTAGAAGAAAATAATATACAACAAATTTTTAGGAAGTATTCATTAGATGACAAAATATTTCTTATAAAAATAATTGAGTGTTGAGATACTAACCAAAATTGTATTTTTTTTACATTGGTACAGGTGCTGTAATGGTATAAGTCTAATATTAATAGAGATATCACTCACTTTCATAATTAATTACTCAAGTTTTATTCAAACATAGAGAAAAAAACGGCTCGGGGGGTAGATGACATATACCCCATCATACATGTGTTTTAATATTCAAATATTATATACAAAACAGTTCAATGTATTAAGCTAATTTTTAAGACACTCTGCTGGCAATGACGCCAGCAGAGTGTCTTACACTGTTAAGTGAGTAACCGTCATTAAAATGAAACTCATAATTTCAATGTTCTTTAAACGTCGTTATACCAGAATTTCTCGCGAACTCCACTACAAAAATTATGATTTTTTAATAATCTACTCCCAAGGTTTGATAAAAAAACCACTCTGTATTCCAAATTTCAGCATAGACTTCCCATATTTGTATTTATCACCACAGGAGTCAGCCTTAATCGTAAAAATAAATATTTCAAATAACAGAAATACAAAATAAGTATCCTATTATAAAAAAAATAATAATTGAAAATTTATTTTAAACTGTTTTGTTCTAGAAAAATGTCACTTAAGTATATGGAAAAAAGATAAACAAAATATGTGGACTGATTATTATGAAAAATTATATTCAACAATTTTACCTTTTACGAAAAATCTAGTGGACTGCATAAAATCTGATTTAGAACTGCACCGTGAAATTTTAGGATTTAATTATATGGGTAATAAGAACGTCATTTGTTTTAACATTTTGGCTCAAATAATTTTAAATGATTGTGACAGTTATGATTAACTGAGACATTTATCAGATGCACCAAAATGATGAATCTGTCGGATTATTGTAGTTATATTTTATAATATTCCACGTTTTGTGCATTTGGAATTTAAGCAAATTGCTTTTACCTTGCCAAAATATCAACAGTCTCGGAAAACACATCAAAATAATTAAATATTATATATTAGAAAAATAAATTATTTAAGTAATGCAAACTGTATAAATAGATGCAAAACGTATATTTATACTCTCCTCAAAATTCTGTTTTAATACCTACGTGGAAATGTTTCAATGAAGTGGACAAACAGTCAACGTAATGATTAGTTATAAAGTAAATGAATCTGATGTTACCTGCGACAATTTGCCTTGGTTTTCCCTACTCGTCCCAGGTAGACCATATACAGAGACCTGCGGTATAGGACCAGGTAACAAGTTTGTTAACACCCAATATTTTGCTACACTACTTAACGTTACAGCATTCAACGCTGTTGTATTCACCCTTAAGTCTGTAGGAACTGATGTGGTTGGTGGTCTCTGAGTTGTACCCTAAAATGGAAAATTATATTTTTTTGAAAGCAAAGTTCTTTTGAATCAACTAAGACATTATTTCCAAAGTGGAAAAGGCAAGACAAGTTTGGTGTATTATATTTGACAAAAAGCCAATGTTGATTATACATATACTTATTATTGGACATCTATATTTTAACATTTCAATACAATACCAATAATCTCGCTAATAATTTAGATATCAATTTAAGTTCATAGTTCCTTTTTATTTACTATGTAGGATTTGCAATATTATTTGTGTTATACACATTTTTTAAATATAATAAATGCATTAATAGTCACAGATTACATGTTTACAAACTTTTTATGTTACAAGTTACTGATAATTTGTTATCGGTTTTATTTATATATACAAAACTTCTTATAACGAGCTATAGAACTACCTACAAACAATTTAATGGACAAACAAATTTTGATTTATGTAAAAAATAATAATTAAATTAATGTTGTTATCTATCTTTTATAGAAGTTTATTAATTTACAATACTATAATCGATGTTGTAAGTCTATAGTAAATTTTTTGAAGTATTTATATTTTTTTGTGAAAAACTAATCTTTTTTAACAGTAGGTAACTAAAATGAAACATTTAGGTACATAGTGTGGAAACAGTAGTTTTATCTGATATCAAAAAATTAAGAAAAAAAAGTTGTTCAAATTGATTGATAATCTTGGTAAATGTGTTTTTCTCAAACATAAATAAATTTGAGAATGGTATAATAGATTTAGTGGTAGTATATAAATATAAAATAAACAAATTTGAGTAATATACTTCACTGCCTGGTGGTATTTCGATTTATTTTTCTTTCCTGATATGTTGCTGCATGGTGCTTGTAGTTGCAAGACTTGTTTATTTAGTGATATATTATTCTTGCAACTGTATATGAAACATACTAGAAAACCACTTTTCTAAAATTCTTGGTGCTCATATTCAATAAAATGGATAAGTGCTTATTCAGAATTTTTTCTTGAAAATGAACGTACCAAACTTTTTCGGTAGAACAACTTACGCAACATATAGGATGTTGAGATTTGATCCAGAACACATCTGTCAAATTTTACAGAGTTCTAGCGCATCATACAATTTTGATACTTATTTTTCTAAATGTACAAAGTGTCTCAATTTATGTGGGTGGTGTACTATGATGTTTTAATCTGACAAAGTGGTTTAATTCAATACCCTATAAAACTCGAATACCTCAACCTTCATTAATTTATTAATTTTTTCACAATCCTAAGTAGTGCAATTGTTTTTAGTATGCCTTGAAAATACTGAAAAATGTTTAAATAACAATGAAAAAAGTCTTAGAAATCACTGTTACTTTTTCACAGACAATTTATACCTAGTCTAGTAACATTTTATTTAAAAAATTAGAAAGCTATAAATTATCGAAACGAGAGACACGGGCTTTTTAAAAAAGGAGCTGAATTAATTATGCCACATTGTCTAATTGCCCATAAAAAATCTCTAATCATGGAATTTGTAGAACGATACGCTAAAATTTTGACATGTGTGTTCCAAATGAGATCTAAACACCCTGTATATCGATCATACTGTACACAAAAGATATAGGTACATTTCCCAAATTGAAGTCCTGTTTAAATTAGAATATCTGAAATGTTTATATAAAGTTCTTAAATTTTATAAACACGGGATTACTTCCTTTGATGTTTTATAATTTATTCATGTAAGTAGCAGTGATGAAATAATGCATTAATTTGTTGTAATTATTGTATTTTTGGCGAAAATTACAGGTTACATCATTAAAAAAATTGAAGAGAATACTTAATTTTGTTAATGCGGTACAAGATTCTGTGTATGTGTCCTGTGTCAAAATACCGGATGTATATTAAGCGGTAAATATGAATAAACAAGTAAACGTCAGATAAGCGTTTATCAGCGTGTCAGTAATAACAAAATGAATCGCACTTACCTCAGAATTAGAAGAACTATGTCCTCCCGAAAGGACATTTTGGTTATCAGTATTCATTTCGCGAGGAAGCGATATTCTAAAAAGTCATTTTATGCACAAAAATATGCACCTAATTAGTGTTTCATCTCGAATTTAAAAAATATCACGTGAAAATTTTCACTGTCATTGTCTAGAACGGGGGGACGCGAGACGTAGCCATTACAAAATTACCAAACGATTTTTTGGCATTTTAATGGCTATTATTACCGATTTTCCCCCGAAACATAACACAGATCACGCCGTATATTACGCCTCATGTTTTGAAAAAGTTTCTCAATCACATAATTAGCTAATATTTTAATATTTAGAGATAAAGGCAGCAACGGAAGCGGGGCGCCGCAAACAATAAACAGTCGAATTCAACATGGCCGATTCTGAATCGACGCCAGTGTGTAATAACATAAACAAAGAATTTATTTTTATTCTCATCTGTAGAGTTATACGAAATATTAAATACAACTAATCCCATCCAGTTCTTGATAAAAACACAAAAAAATGCCAGGATTTCCTTAAAGTTTCTTTAAAAATTCTGTTTCAATTTTAAATTTCAATTTCCCTCCGTTTCACTAAGCACCGCCTACTACTCTGTTGGTAATGAAGAAAGAAGTTAGCGGGAAATTTAAACATAAAGATCGAGATAATTCAAACGTTTCTCACATTCTAAGATGTTTTTATATACTTGAAAATATTGAATCACAAATTAGGACAGATTTAGAGTCGAAAATGCAAGACGAAGTAAAATATTCTTAAAAAATTCAATTGTTTATTCTTTTATGACTTCAATAATTGTTTCAATATCTTCGTTGTCAGTCATGGCTAACTTAATCGTCACGGGAAATTAAAAATAAAGAACAAGACAATTCAAACATTTATTTCTCATATTCTAACATAAGTTTTATATACTTAAATATATTTAATCACAAATTCGGACGGATTTAGTGTAGTAGTGCAAGATTAAACAAAATATTATTAAAAAATTAAACAGTATATTCCTCTATAACTTCTTCAACTGTTTCGATTTCTTCCTCAGTCATAGCCAACTTAGTTGTTACAGGTACGATGGCAGACACTGGTACTCCGAGACCCTGAGCTAGCGCCTCAATCAATTCCTTATTCAGATAATAAGTAACGGGTGTGTTACTATTCGCGGCACTTAAAAATTGACGCAACTCTCCACAGAGCTGTTTTGCCTCAGTAAAGTTACCAGATTTAACGCAATGATGTATCATTAGGGCGAAAATATCGCCGCGTCTTACGGCCGCCTCTAATTCTTCACCTCCAGACATCAGCAATTGGCGAGACTGAGACATACCTGCAAAAATCAGTACATTTCTCATATCTAAGAAGGAGATACCAGAATTAAGGACATTTCACATCCTACTATTCTTTAAATACTTTGATAACTGAGCTGGCACCATCTAGGTGGATTAATTTAAGCATGTATTAACGGATTGAATGAAAATTTGTTAATAAGGCAAATAAGGGCTAAACAACTCATGTGTCATGAGTTGTTTATGCATGTGGCATGCCCGTCAGTATAGCCTCTTCAATTGTCACATTCTGAGTTTCATTTTAAACAAAATAAAAATTATGGTGCATAACTTCTTCAACAAAGACATATTAGTTTACGGGGAGTCATAACACAATTCAGTATGTGCAGCTCATCAGAATATCACTTGGCAACTAAATACAGTGTGTTTATTAAACATACGGCAAAAATTCAAGGGGTTATTCCCTTTACTATTAAAGAGCATTTTGTCCTCTGATTGTTTTTGGAAAGCCGCTTTGTTCCGAAGATACAGGGCAAGAAAAATTTTCGATAATAACATTTTATTACCGAAAATTACATGTAGAGCTTCTTAATCTACAAGATCTGTTGAAAATGACTACCTCCATCTAGGATGCAAAAATCCAATCTTCTCCTCACTTCTTTCACACTCTCTCACACTCTTTCTTAAAGAGTACCCAGCAAATATTCGATTTCTTAAATCTTCCACATTTTCCACTGGAGTAGTATAAAGTAATGATGGCCCCATAGGAAATAATCCAGGGGGTTTAAGTCTGGGGATCGAGCAGGCCATAAGTGAAGTCCATCTCGACCAACACAGCGATCCTTGTATGTTACTGTTAAAACCTCACGAGCAACCACACTAAAATGCGCTGCGGCACCATCGTGCATAAACCACATTGCATTTCTTGTTGTCAAGAAATTGAGGTAGCGTTTGTTCCAAAAGATTGTGATACACCTCACCGGTAAGTCTTCCTGGTAGAAATACCAGTCCAATTAACCAGTCACAGTCATCCACAATTCCAACCCAAACGTTCAACGAGAAATGATGTCGAAAACGATCTTGAAGTGGATTTTCTTCAGCCCACACATGGTTATAGTGAAAATTCCTCATTGCATTTTTGAGAAATTCTCATCATCGGTAAAAAGAATCAGCGTTAGTAGTTGAGGAAGTTGTTCCAATGTGTGCAAAAGCCATTGGCAGAATGCAATACGTGGAGGAAAATCGGCAGGAAGAAGTGCCTGAACGCGTTGTACGTGGTATGGGTACAACTAAAGAGTCCCTAAGAATATTCCAAAAAGTCCCATGCAAGTAACATTCAAAGTATTTGCAATTTTTCGAGTGGATCTACCTGTATCATGTCCAGCACATTCTCTTCCACATCTACCATTCTTACCGTCATTGGCTTTCCTGGTCCTCCACTTCGTTTCACTGTGCCTGTTTCATGAAGACGTTGATGAATACTTTGGAGGGTTTTTCTATCAGGAACATTATAGTCAGAAAATCGTTCAATGTACAACCACCCAACATTTAATAAACTGCCATCGGGAGGTCACTTATTTCAGCGTTCGTATAGGGATTCATGATAGAGGACATCACTAACAAAAGTTTAACTGTTAAAGACAGAAAATACACGTTAAACAGCCAAACGTCAATCAGACTCGACAAATTCGACACATACAAAATGATCAGTCCGAGACGTATTCAAATGAAATCCACATTCAAACTGGTTTCTTTAAAAGAAGAAGAGCTGGGAGTATTTTGACAAAACAAATACCAAGTAGTATTTTAAATACAAAATAGTATTTTGTATTTTGTAATTAAAATACTTTTATTATAACCGCAAAAATATTTTGTATTTCAAATACTTTAATAAAGTAATTTGTATTTGTATTTTAAAAAGTATTTAAAATCTTCTAAATATAATTTAAATACTTTTGAGTATTTAAAATACTCGAAGTATTTAAAATACCCAAAATACCTACCAAAACAAACACTCTTTGCCTGTTACGGTTGGCGACTGGTACAACACATGCTAAAAAAAATTACGCACCTGCACGCCTGGATTTAGCTCATTCTACTCTGCGTTCTGCAATTTTTTTAAGTTTACACCCTGTATCATGTTAACAAAGCGAGCTAGATAAAAACTTTACATGAAAGACTCACCACGAAAAATTCACCAAGAATACGAGGTTTCATTTTTGGCCACCATTTGTGAATCACCCTGTATTTAATATTCAACATACCTAAAATACTATTTTAAATACTAAGTAATTTGTATTTAAAATACTTTGCCAATGAAGTATTTTGTTTTTAAGTATTTTAAAATACTTTCGTACTGGTATTTCGTAATTTGTATTTTAAATACATTTTCAAAGTATTTTGCCCAGCTCTTTTCAATGTCTGCACTTGCCTCCTTTTTTTCTTTCAAAAAAAAAATTATACTCGGTAAACCCAGTGTAGTACGCCATACTTTTATTTTATTTAATTATTATTTTTAATAATTTGAAAAATATCAATATTGGTTTTGTTGAAAATTTTTCTCGCCCTGTATCTACGAAACAAAGCGGCTTTTCAAAAATCACCAAAGGACAAAATATTCTTAGAATAATCCAGGGAATAACCCCTTGAATGTTTGCCATTTTAATAAACACCCTATACATGGATTGGTATTGTAAATGGACTAATGCCGTTTACTTAACAGTATTTACATGACAATTTATCAATGCTGACACAAAGTGAGACAACAGTTGTATGCTTTGGCCACGTCTATGGCCTAAACTTAATCCGTTTGATTTTTCTTTTTGGTGTCACATAAGTAATTTTGAACAGTTGTTTTAGTAGTTTTTTACCACTATAATACTAATTCCTATTCATTTATTTTGAAATAATTAATAATTTTATTATTAATTACTATTTATCATAAGCAAGCTTATGCACATAGATTAAGAATCACCCTGTAAAGTATTTAAACGATGGTTGCACTAACCAGTTTGGTGATCTCCCCGCTCGAATAACCTGCGAATGTCCACGAACCTTTTCACCAAGGTCAGCCTCTGTTGTACTATTTCAGAAGCTTTCTGTATCTGCTTCGGGTCCTTCAGATTAGTGATTTTTTGTAAGCACCTCGACGCTTCTGTCAAGGCACCGAAGGCTTTCTCGTAGTTTTGAAACTCGTCTATTTCCACCTAAAAAACATAATTAAACGAAAGATTTTTATGAAATATGAAAATAGTGTACAAGGTTTTTTTACCTGCGCACATGCAACATAAAAATTTGCCAATAAGTCCAAAGCCTTTCCCTTAGAATAGTACGTAATGATGTTGCGAAGCACTTCGGGTTGATTCTGCCAGTCCAGAGATTGTAGATAGTTCGCAGCCATAATATAAATTTCTCGTTGCCTTGAAACGCCAGCAAAGAAAACGATTTTTTCTGTGTCTCCGGACTTCAACAGTGCTTTCATGGCACGTATCTACAAAATTACATACTGAACATGTTGTTTGTCAGTTCGAATATAAAGTGTACTTAAATATTAAAATAAATAAGCTCGATATATTTTTTTTTCAAAAATAGTAATTTCCATTTTCAGGATCACTGCCATCTATAAAAAAAAAATTTATCACCTTATCTCCTGCCTGCGTAAACTTCTTGGTTGCCAAGTGATAATTTCCCTGAACCATTAAACTTTCTGCTAGATTTTCCAAAACATTCAGTCTCATTTCTTCTTCAACAACATCTTTCTCTGGCGTAAGTTTCTCTGCTAGGTCTTCGGTTAGTTGAACGTTATGAGTTAAACACAGACTAATAGCTTCTTTGTACTGAAAATATCATTGCGAATTTGGGTAGAAAGATTGAGCAGATTGCAGATTGAGTTCAAACGAGAAGTAGAAATATTATTTTGTTTTTGAGGTCGCTGAATCCGAATCCGGTGTTTATTTTTACTTTGCATGCATCCTCGAAGTCATTCAAGGTCATCTCAAGGTCATTTGAGGGGTTTTTGGGACAAAAAAGCCAAGTACCATCCGAAAAATTTGAAAAAATTCATACGTATGTTTTCGAGGACCCTGAACTTGAATCTGAGGCCAGTCGACCTCATTTCAAGGTCATTCGAAGGTCAAATGGTCAAAAAAACTTCAAAAAATCTGAAAAAATTCATCGACATGTTTTTGAGGTCGCCGAATCCGAATCCGAATTCGGTGTTTATTTTTACATTGTATGTATCCTCGAGGTCTTTCAAGGTCATCTCAAGGCAAGTATTCTAGTTCTATGACACAATTGTGCATTTTGCAGATTGAGATTGTTACCATGTTATGCATTAATGAGATTTATACCAGAAAAGATTATTTGGAAAATGACTGTATAATCCACATAAAAGTAGGTTAGGTTCCCATTTAAATTCTATGTATAATTTTAAATTTGTGTTCATTACTTGGTAAATATATAGATATATGAAAAAAAACTAGTCAGATAGACAGCCTGAATTCAACTTTTTTATCTGAATTCTGTGATCATTTTCCAAAGAATATTTTCTGGTATAAATCTCATTAATGCATAACATGGTAACAATCTCAATCTGCGAAATGCACAATTGTGCCACAGAACTAGAATATCTGCCTTGAGATGACCTTGAATGACCTCGAAGATGCATGCAAAGTAAAAATAAACACTGGATTCAGATTTGGCGACCTCAAAAACATGACCATGATTTTTTCAGATTTTAGGAAGGTTTTTTGACCATTTGACCTTCAAATGACCTTGAACTTGACGTGATGGAGCCTAACCGACCCGGTCATCGTAATCAGCGACCCCAAAAACCCTAGGATACCATCTTCAATTCCCGTGCACAAGCCTAGATAAAATGTTGACCTGTGTTATTAATATGCAAACATGTGTATCTGTTTTTCAATAAAGCAATATTTTTTAAATAGAATGGCTTCTCCGAAAGTATTAAAAAATAAGTAGAGTCCTAGAATATCCCAGAATGTCGAGTATTAACTAGAAGGCCATGCTTTCATATNTTAAAGGAACTTTTTGAAAGCCAGCCTCTGCCGCTAAATGCCTTTTATTTACTTGAGGAATTTCTTCGACCCTTTCCAAAATTTGTTCCTCCAGCTGAATAATTCCGGCCGTAAATTATCCACGATTTAATGTTACGGGTAAAAAACGTCCTGTTTCCCGAAGGCGTCTCTCCGCATTAGCAAATGTTTTGTGATTTGGAGTTCTTCTATTAGGAAATCTTTTAGCATATGTTCGAACAGTAGCACAAGAATTTCCTTCACAATAACCCAAAACTACTAACATATCAGTTTGTTCAGGAAAAGTATAAATTGCAATAAAAAACAAAGTAAGCTAAAATTAAATCACAGCTAGCTTGGCACAGAACCTTTTAATTATTGTTATGAATTTGTTTCTCTGTTATATGGTGCCTCGTACTGGAATGTTCTATTTATCTTAAACTGATTTTATATTATTTAATGTGTAAAAAATGACAATTTTACTCAAAATCCATAAACAATATCAAAATTTTGGCAAGAGGCAAAAAAATGTTCTAAAATAGTGCTTATTTTTAAAAATATAAATTCTGTTGTCATTGGCGTACATACAAAAAAGTTACGGGATAACCAGTGGCACACAGGCACTAGAAAGAGAACATCCTGTATATGTATGCTCACCATTCTCTATATTTACATTGCCCTTATATAAAAAAATATGTGTACCAAATTTGAAGTTTCTAAGAAAAACAGTTTTCAAATTGTTTGAAAAAAACTAGGTTATCTGTTCTATATTTAGAAGGCTTATATCTCAGTAGGCGTGCACTTTTGTATATAGGTAAGTTAGACTAAATAGTCTTGTTTTCATCCAAGGAACCTGTGGTCAAGCGTTGTCCATCCTTTTCAGGGACACCCTGTATAAACTACGCTATCAGATAAGTTAAGGAGTGAATGACGTTTGCCCACAAATTTTGACATCTGAAAGGTTGTCCTGATCCAGGGGCTTTGCAATCGACATCCTCAAATCTAGCATTGCCATTATTTATTACATTTATTATTTTTATTAAACTGTTATAATAGTTTAAGTAACAAATCGTCTTTTTTTGAGACAGTTTCTTGCTGTGGACGGCCTAACCTCTAAAACTGTGGGCAGTCAACAATTAGATGGATCCTTTTGTCCTGTATATCTAATGGTACCTACTAAAAATACATATACTTAAGGTAAGTATTAAAATTGGGTACCCACTAGATTTTATTGACTTAGTATTTGCATTGCATACAGCCATTTTAAAATTGAAACATATATTGCTCTTGTTCATGTAAAAATTGGAATTTTAGATTTCTCAATTGTGATACCAATCAAACATTAACTTGATGCTTTTTTACCAAGGTACTTTCTTTCTAAGAATGTATATTTTGTTATTTTGGCAAAAACAAAAAAATATAAATCAACATGACTAGGGCTGTCAGAGAGAGCCGCAATTCAATGATGTGTCAAGCAGGTCAACCGAGACATGTGTGAGCCGCTGTCTTTGTTATTGTGGGAATGTTACGTAATTAATTCCTATCTGTTGGTGTTTATGGTGGTGTATTATAGACAATTTAATTTGTTGCTTTTTAATAAATAATGCGTACGCCTATGTTCTGCGGTTCAGTTCTTACAGCCCGAAACATGACCACAAAAATAAACTGAATTAAAAAATACAAAAATTCAATATGACATTGAAAAAAAAAACCACGTTTCCGTTTAAAGTAATAAAATTGAAAATAAAAATTTTGTTTTTCCTTGAAAATCTCAAAGCGAAAATAGGCAAGTCAAATCACTCTTCGGCTTATTATTCGTCACCAAATACTGCAACTTTGGCCTACTATCTATTGTTTTTTAAAAAATGTTTTTAATAAATACGATTTATTCAGAAACAGTTAAAATGATAAAAACCAACTTTTTTTAGTAAAAGGAATAGAGATTTTAAAAAATAATAATTTTTTATGTAGTCAATGGTCAATTATTATTAACTTTTGATTCATTTGATTTCATATAGATTCCAGACCATTCATAATTCAAACCCAAGTTTACCATAGCTCATACACACACCATATATTGCATAATTTACAGATTTGCAGCAATATTTTGTTTGAACAATGTAGTTAAATATTATTAATACATATAATTCAAGAAATAGACACAAAGTTTTTTACATTTGCATCTAGAAGAAAATAATATACAACAAATTTTTAGGAAGTATTCATTAGATGACAAAATATTTCTTATAAAAATAATTGAGTGTTGAGATACTAACCAAAATTGTATTTTTTTTACATTGGTACAGGTGCTGTAATGGTATAAGTCTAATATTAATAGAGATATCACTCACTTTCATAATTAATTACTCAAGTTTTATTCAAACATAGAGAAAAAAACGGCTCGGGGGGTAGATGACATATACCCCATCATACATGTGTTTTAATATTCAAATATTATACACAAAACAGTTCAATGTATTAAGCTAGTTTGTTAAGACACTCTGCTGGCAATGACGCCAGCAGAGTGTCTTACACTGTTAAGTGAGTAACCGTCATTAAAATGAAACTCATAATTTCAATGTTCTTTAAACGTCGTTATACCAGAATTTCTCGCGAACTCCACTACAAAAATTATGATTTTTTAATAATCTACTCCCAAGGTTTGATAAAAAAACCACTCTGTATTCCAAATTTCAGTATAGACTTCCCATATTTGTATTTATCACCACAGGAGTTAGCCTTAATCGTAAAAATAAATATTTCAAATAACAGAAATACAAAATAAGTATCCTATTATAAAAAAAATAATAATTGAAAATTTATTTTAAACTGTTTTGTTCTAGAAAAATGTCACTTAAGTATATGGAAAAAAGATAAACAAAATATGTAGACTTTGATTATTATGAAAAGTTATATTCAACAATTTTACCTTTTACGAAAAATCTAGTGGACTGCATAAAATCTGATTTAGAACTGCACCGTGAAATTTTAGGATTTAATTATATGGGTAATAAGAACGTCATTTGTTTTAACATTTTGGCTCAAATAATTTTAAATGATTGTGACAGTTATGATTAACTGAGACATTTATCAGATGCACCAAAATGATGAATCTGTCGGATTATTGTAGTTATATTTTATAATATTCCACGTTTTGTGCATTTGGAATTTAAGCAAATTGCTTTTACCTTGCCAAAATATCAACAGTCTCGGAAAACACATCAAAATAATTAAATATTATATATTAGAAAAGTAAATTATTTAAGTAATGCAAACTGTATAAATAGATGCAAAACGTATATTTATACTCTCCTCAAAATTCTGTTTTAATACCTACGTGGAAATGTTTCAATGAAGTGGACAAACAGTCAACGTAATGATTAGTTATAAAGTAAATGAATCTGATGTTACCTGCGACAATTTGCCTTGGTTTTCCCTACTCGTCCCAGGTAGACCATATACAGAGACCTGCGGTATAGGACCAGGTAACAAGTTTGTTAACACCCAATATTTTGCTACACTACTTAACGTTACAGCATTCAACGCTGTTGTATTCACCCTTAAGTCTGTAGGAACTGATGTGGTTGGTGGTCTCTGAGTTGTACCCTAAAATGGAAAATTATATTTTTTTGAAAGCAAAGTTCTTTTGAATCAACTAAGACATTATTTCCAAAGTGGAAAAGGCAAGACAAGTTTGGTGTATTATATTTGACAAAAAGCCAATGTTGATTATACATATACTTATTATTGGACATCTATATTTTAACATTTCAATACAATACCAATAATCTCGCTAATAATTTAGATATCAATTTAAGTTCATAGTTCCTTTTTATTTACTATGTAGGATTTGCAATATTATTTGTGTTATACACATTTTTTAAATATAATAAATGCATTAATAGTCACAGATTACATGTTTACAAACTTTTTATGTTACAAGTTACTGATAATTTGTTATCGGTTTTATTTATATATACAAAACTTCTTATAACGAGCTATAGAACTACCTACAAACAATTTAATGGACAAACAAATTTTGATTTATGTAAAAAATAATAATTAAATTAATGTTGTTATCTATCTTTTATAGAAGTTTATTAATTTACAATACTATAATCGATGTTGTAAGTCTATAGTAAATTTTTTGAAGTATTTATATTTTTTTGTGAAAAACAAATCTTTTTTAACAGTAGGTAACTAAAATGAAACATTTAGGTACATAGTGTGGAAACAGTAGTTTTATCTGATGTCAAAAAATTAAGAAAAAAAAGTTGTTCAAATTGATTGATAATCTTGGTAAATGTGTTTTTCTCAAACATAAATAAATTTGAGAATGGTATAATAGATTTAGTGGTAGTATATAAATATAAAATAAACAAATTTGAGTAATATACTTCACTGCCTGGTGGTATTTCGATTTATTTTTCTTTCCTGATATGTTGCTGCATGGTGCTTGTAGTTGCAAGACTTGTTTATTTAGTGATATATTATTCTTGCAACTGTATATGAAACATACTAGAAAACCACTTTTCTAAAATTCTTGGTCCTCATATTCAATAAAATGGATAAGTGCTTATACAGAATTTTTTCTTGAAAATGAACGTACCAAACTTTTTCGGTAGAACAACTTACGCAACATATAGGATGTTGAGATTTGATCCAGAACACATCTGTCAAATTTTACAGAGTTCTAGCGCATCATACAATTTTGATACTTATTTTTCTAAATGTACAAAGTGTCTCAATTTATGTGGGTGGTGTACTATGATGTTTTAATCTGACAAAGTGGTTTAATTCAATACCCTATAAAACTCGCATACCTCAACCTTCATTAATTTATTAATTTTTTCACAATCCTAAGTAGTGCAATTGTTTTTAGTATGCCTTGAAAATACTGAAAAATGTTTAAATAACAATGAAAAAAGTCTTAGAAATCACTGTTACTTTTTCACAGACAATTTATACCTAGTCTAGTAACATTTTATTTAAAAAATTAGAAAGCTATAAATTATCGAAACGAGAGACACGGGCTTTTTAAAAAAGGAGCTGAATTAATTATGCCACATTGTCTAATTGCCCATAAAAAATCTCTAATCATGGAATTTGTAGAACGATACGCTAAAATTTTGACATGTGTGTTCCAAATGAGATCTAAACACCCTGTATATCGATCATACTGTACACAAAAGATATAGGTACATTTCCCAAATTGAAGGCCGGTCCTAATTAAATTAGAATATCTCAAATGTTTATATAAAGTTCTTAAATTTTATAAACACGGGATTACTTCCTTTGATGTTTTATAATTTATTCATGTAAGTAGCAGTGATGAAATAATGCATTAATTTGTTGTAATTATTGTATTTTTGGCGAAAATTACAGGTTACATCATTAAAAAAATTGAAGAGAATACTTAATTTTGTTAATGCGGTACAAGATTCTGTGTATGTGTCCTGTGTCAAAATACCGGATGTATATTAAGCGGTAAATATGAATAAACAAGTAAACGTCAGATAAGCGTTTATCAGCGTGTCAGTAATAACAAAATGAATCGCACTTACCTCAGAATTAGAAGAACTATGTCCTCCCGAAAGGACATTTTGGTTATCAGTATTCATTTCGCGAGGAAGCGATATTCTAAAAAGTCATTTTATGCACAAAAATATGCACCTAATTAGTGTTTCATCCCGAATTTAAAAAATATCACGTGAAAATTTTCACTGTCATTGTCTAGAACGGGGGGACGCGAGACGTAGCCATTACAAAATTACCAAACGATTTTTTGGCATTTTAATGGCTATTATTACCGATTTTCCCCCGAAACATAACACAGATCACGCCGTATATTACGCCTCATGTTTTGAAAAAGTTTCTCAATCACATAATTAGCTAATATTTTAATATTTAGAGATAAAGGCAGCAACGGAAGCGGGGCGCCGCAAACAATAAACAGTCGAATTCAACATGGCCGATTCTGAATCGACGCCAGTGTGTAATAACATAAACAAAGAATTTATTTTTATTCTCATCTGTAGAGTTATACGAAATATTAAATACAACTAATCCCATCCAGTTCTTGATAAAAACACAAAAAAATGCCAGGATTTCCTTAAAGTTTCTTTAAAAATTCTGTTTCAATTTTAAATTTCAATTTCCCTCCGTTTCACTAAGCACCGCCTACTACTCTGTTGGTAATGANATATAGAATAGTTTTGTAATGGCGCGTACATACTGATTCTGCTGTGTTCTCAAAATAAATGTTGGATTAATGTTTTTGAGGTTTTTGATCCCCCTGTATAAAAAATAAATTATTAATATGCAAACATGTGTATCTGTTTTTCAATAAAGCAATATTTTTTAAATAGAATGGCTTCTCCGAAAGTATTAAAAAATAAGTAGAGTCCTAGAATATCCCAGAATGTCGAGTATTAACTGGAAGACCATGCTTTCATATTTAAACATAAAATTTAATTCCAAGTAACTTTTCCCCATTACTTTTTCACGTAGCGTTAAGATTTAAAGTACTTTACTCTTTATTGTTTTTACTCTTGGCTTCTGGACAAGCAAAAATTTTTATGAAGAATGATTTTTTTTGACAATTGAAATTTTGTATCCATTTCAGGACAGGCAACCCGAACTGGGGACACCCTGTATATTACAAAAAATTAAATTATTAAAATGTCTTATAAATACCTTTTTAGCTATTGCAAGTAAATCAACAGCCTTATCAAACTGTTCATTGGTAACGAAGTACTCTGCACACTTCTGCACCAACGCAGGATCTGAGTACGAGTCCAGTTGGGTGGCAATATCCTGCAAAACTTCGTACTGCTGCGTTTTAAACGCCAGATCCAGAGCCTTATGAAGCATGCCTCCCCTGTGATACAGAACCACAGCTTTCTCAAGATCACCCCGCTCCTCGAAGAACTTCGCACATTCGACTTTCTCCCTGTTCGCAACGACGACACCCAAGTCCCACAGTTCCTCCGCCATGTTGTTCTCCTTGCACAAACGCACAGCGTTGCAGTAAGCAGTCGCTTTCGTGAAAAAATTTACTGCTTCCTCGTAGTTTCCGATGGTTTCGTAATACCTCGCCAAGTGGTAGTAAGCCGCTTTGTCGCAGTTAGATCTGGCCAACTCGGAGGCGGCTGATTCTTCTCCCAAAAAACATAAGACGCGAACTTGAGAGTAAATATCGCCAGCGCTGGCGTATACCTTTAAGGCCGAATGCATATCACCTTGCGATTCTATGTATTGAGCCCACCATTTCAACATTTCCCTGAAATCCGTTAAATACATACAGAATTTGGTTAGTGTTTTACCGCATGGCCAAACATGTCATCAGATTTGGTGCCTTCGACCTTTTTTGTTATACAGGGTGTTTAAGGATTAAACTTTGAAAATTTTGAATTCAGGTTAAATTTAACTTACATTAAGTACTTTAATATATCTAAAATAATTGTACATACAAACTGTAAAACTGATATTTATCATCTGAATAAAAATTTTAAGTGTGCCAATTAATATCGGAACACCGCCTTATCCTATAAAATGAAACGCAAGAAAGAAATTTCAGATTAAATTATCAGTTCAAGATATAAAACTTAGTAACTTACTTATCTTTCGTTTTTAACATGTATGCCTGCAACTGCTGTGGATGGTCACAGAGCATTCTAGGGACATCGTACAAATGAGTGTTGGCCCTCTCGTAGCGGGCAGTGGCCTCCTTAAAATCTCCTGCTTGTTCCAACGATCTAGCCCAGACGTGCTCGGTATTTCTCAAGTTAATTCTGTCTTTTGACTCAGCTACCGCATGAGCTGCGTCCATCTTATTCCTGCTTCTGAGTAGTTTGTTCTGTAAGTCGTATCTCCCGCACTGAATATAAAGTTGTTCGGCCTCATCCTATTTTCCGTATAAGCAAATATGTAGAAGATTTTTTACAAATGTACAGTTCAACTTATTTCATCTGGCTAATGAAGACCAGTGGTATAATGTAAGAGGGGCCTTATCGAAAAATACTTCAACTGTTTAAACGTAGTGTGTGCTCTCTTGCATTTGAACGTCTCACCTGCCAGATTAAGTTCGCTGAACTGTACAAGGGTTTGGGTGCGATATTATACAACCGAAACTAATTGCAAATAAAATAAATTCCCTGCTTTTTTTCAATTTCAAATATTGAAAATTCTTTGTAAGGCATTTTAAAGTAATTTTTTACAAATTACTTACTAACATCCCCAAGTGTATTGCTAAAACAGCAACTTTGGCTTCCAAAGGTAAGGAATCATCAGCCATGGCTAAACGCAGTGCTCTGGCAGCCATTGCGTTACCCATATGTCCTAAACACACACCGGCTACGTCTAACCTTCGTGTTTTCACGCACATACGGGCAAGGCTAGCCCACACCCCACTGCTCTGCACTAATTTTATAGCCTTAAATGCGGCATCCATATTTCCTATGAGAATATAATAATCAGTTTTATTTCATGAAATTACAGTAAATTATAAAATTGATTGTCTCCTAATATTTCCATGACGAATAATATTTCTAAAGTTAATACATAGTGCCTTTCTTGTATATATTTTTTTAATGAAAAATGGAAAACAAAAGATACATACTTTTTAAAGGAAGATGCCATAAATATCTTATTTTTTTTATGTCTTAAGTCTTTTGAGATGTCTTACTCATATTTTAAGCCTTGACTTATTAGGGTAGTAATTTAAACAGTATTATTCAAACCCCACAAGTTGCGTAAGGGGGAGTTTTAGGGAGTTTAAATTTTTTATTGTTTCTTCAATTTTTTAAAGTTGAGATATGTTAACTCGTAGAAAATTAGAAAAAAATAATAATTTCCCTTTTCCCAATTGTTCGGAAATCAATATTTTCACATATTTTAGAAGGGATAAAAATTAAAAAATTAAGAATGTAGGTTCAAGTTTTCTAAATTTGTCAATTCCACCTATTTCTAACTTTTCTATTTCTTATACTTCTCTTCTTCTTATTCCCTTTTGCCTGAGCTTTTTGTAAAAATCACCTGTGTAGGGTTATTCACAATCACAAAGCATTCTATTCCCCCTATCTATTTAGAGAAAATTTGTATGGGCCACAGTAGTAGGAAGCCGAACATACATATTTCTTCGACACCCTGCACATTTTTACATATTTGAATAAATGCACTACATCCCCCGAACACTACGTACTTATTATGCAACATTTGGAATTCAAGCAGTAAACTCCTAAATCTAAGTTTAAAATATCCATGAAATATTTCAACAGATTTTTAAGATATTGCAAAAAATACAGGGTCGGAAAGTCCCCATGGTTCATCGGCCGTTATGTGAGAGCGATAAAGAAAGTCATAGAAATCCGTGCGATAGAGAAAGATGGCTATAATGAAAGCGTCCAATAGTCACCGCCCATTTTGCCCTTCCACAAATAAGATCCACTTCTTATTTGTGGAAGAGCGAAATGGGCAGTGACTATTAGACGCCTTCATTATAGCCGTCTTTCTCTATCACACGGATTTCTATGGCTTTCTTTATCGCTCTCACGTAACGGCTGATGAACCATGGGGACTTTCCGACCCTGTATATCTACCGTCCCTCTTCAAATTATTCATTTTATTTTGCATGTCAACTATTCATTTTCTATAATTTTTGAAAAAAAGAACATTTATTTTTTGATATACTATCCACCTCATTCTAACTATGAGAATCAGCCCATAAGTCGGAGACTTGTGCGGGAGAGGAGGCGGCATATTATTATTAGGCAGGCCGCATTTGCACCCAGGAACGACTTATGTTGGTAGGCCCTAACCACCATTCAGTGCAGGAATGAGGGAAACCTGGAAAACCTTATTAATTAGGGGGGAGGTCAAATGCCAACCGGTGTCAATCTCTCACATTGACCCAAGCCAACATTCTTCCACCCTACCATACCTGCACAGAGGGTGCCAATCCTCCGTACAAGCATAGCTAATCTACGGTCTACCGTCCACGGGAATCGAACCCGGGCAGAAATTTGCACACAATTTAAGTACTGATGACTTAACCCGTGCGGCTATCGACCGATATTATTAAACATGCATTGCAAATGATTTGGAACTAATTTCACATACATTTTTTCAAAGTAAAAAATGTATATTGTATCATTAAAAATAATAAATATTACATACCTAATGTTAAATTATAACTAAAATCTAGGACAGCGTCCCTAGTTGTTTTATCGCAGTTTTCGAGACCATTGAAATCACTCATAATTTCTCTCACAATATTCAGCTTTTGTAATGTTACAATGTAAGGTGTAGCGCACGCTACCAATCTAGCATCTGAATCTATAGCTTTTATGTCATGGATTCTAATTCCATTTTCAGATGACACAAACATAGTTACAATTACTTGATCCTCATCTTTAAGGCTTTTCTTCTCTTCTACGAAAACAACAAATCTTAAGAAATTATAAAAAATGATAAACGGTGACCCAGAAATGGTTAGAAAGAAAGAAATTCAATTTTTTGGATATTTCACATAAAGGCCCCTCTTTGAAAGTTATAGCTTTTCTTAGGAGGGGGTACAAATAATGATTTTTCAACTTAAAAAAAAACTTAAAAAAGGCTGCAAATAGAAAAATAAATTTTTATATGGATGTAGTAACGAAACATTCTATCAAAAATGTGATAATTACGAAAGTTGTAATTTCAATTTCAATATGCCAACTAATTACACCACAGCCATCAATTATAACAAATTTGGAATTATAGTTTTGTAATAAATAAAAATTATGAATTTTAATTGAGCGCAGCTAGAAAAGAATCAGCTATATGATGAGGTACAATACTGATACCTTAGATGGTGTTCCGTCAGAGAAAAATGCTTCTTTTTGGAAAATAGGTGTTGTAACCCTGAAAAAAGTTTGGGATTGAGCTTTAAACAGAAACGCATCAAATTAGATAAAGATAGTTTACTTAATACTATAAAAAGATATGATTCTTGTTAAGAAACAATATCCTCAATTCTACAAATTGCAGCTCCTGTAAAGTCCTAGGAATCCTAGAATATATAATTATAATTTTTTACTTTAATCCACGTATACTCTAATATCTGACAAGCTAGACTATAACTGACATATTGTAAATTTAGATATATCACTGAAAATAATTCCGCTTCACCCATCCTCTGTTAAGTGCAGTTTTTCTTTGCTCATGCCTATTGACAAAGAGAAATTGGCCACCATTCAATTTTTTTAGCCATTTCTGCGACACACATAATTTAACTTTAATTGGATTTACCTGCCATAGATTTTGACCTAATAAGAAACCCTTTATTTTTTCCTGTAGACATTTTCAGCTTTCTTGCATTACACACTAACAGCCTGGGATCTTCTGCATCCCAAAACAAGTTCAAAGGAATCCTGTTCTTACAAATTTCATCAAATGCCATTTTTATTTCCTCGGCATCGTTCCTAACTTCTTCAACATCTTTTTCATTCTCATCGCTCCTATACATACCATCCATATCATTTTTATCAGCAAAGTCATATTTTCGGAAATCGTATATCACCATTTCATCGTTCTCCACATCCCAGATATATAGTTTTCCGTCTGGTATGAGATTAGCGGCTGCCAGCGTCATAGCTACCTTATTTCCAGCCGAGTTCGTCTTGGCTTGGATTATCTCGCCAAAATCAGACACCGTATCGTATAAGTTTCTAACTGGAGTTACAAGCTTTGATTCGGCTTCGCTTAGATCATAAATCTTAAGGAAACCTTCCATCGTGAAAATCGTTAAGTATTGACCAGTCACATCCATGCCAATAGGCTCTCCTTCGCTCAGGCCTGATGTAATGGAAGTTATGATGGAGCCTTTGCAGGTATGTAAAGTGACTGCTTTGGAGTTTATTGTGATTATGGTTTGTTCATGTATTACCATGCCGTCATTATCAGAATTGAATTTGTTTAGTAAATTAATGGAAAATTCATTATCATTTTCACCTAAAATCAAAATTTTATTGCTACACATAGGATGGCCTAGATTTGAATCAGGTGACAGAAAGAGGATCACATTAGTTTCTTTTTGACAAAATGTTGATGTTAAAAAAATGTATTATATTTTCTCAAATATCTTTGGGGACATTTGATGTAGACTGATGGAATTTGGGTTAATGATATGTCTAATTTGAGGCAAGAATTTCCTAAGTCGACTTGCAAATATGTATAGTAGAGATACGAGGATTGATTACTATTAGAAGTATCTAAATTTGGATTATTTTAGGAGTTTAGAAAATTAAACAATTCTACATCAATAATTTTTGGTTACATTACATATTTAAAATCGTATTTCTAACAAAAAATCCCCAGATTTAGAGTTACTTTCGATATATTTTGTGTGGTGTAAGCTCATTTTAGAATAGAATTAAGCCAAGCAGAACTTTAAAATGGCTCGTTATTCGAAGAACTAAAAATAGATCTTTTCTCTTCGAAATGTAACTGGGAATGAAAAGCACTAATAGATTTTCCAGAATAGTAACAGTAGAATAAAAATTCTGAAGTTCCTAGTGGTGCCAACTCCGAAAATCTCTGTTACTGGCTGGCACACTTTTAAATCAACTTTGAATTTTGACTTTTAATTAAATAAATCAGTGACTCAAGTTTCATCACTCGATGTCAAACATCCTCAGAGCTATTTCAGAAAATGTATAAAATAATATTATTTATTTTTTTAATTCAACATCCTGTATCTCAAAAACAAAGCATTTCCCAATTAAAATCTAGGACTGTACTGTATACAGGATATTTACAAACTTGAGGAGGATGTTTTAATGGAAGGTAGAATACATTAATAATAAACATTTTCAATAGTAAAAGTAACTGAAATTGCAAAATGGTTAATAATAATCAAACTTGCTAAAACTTATTGAGAACCTGTAGAATCATTCCCAACTTACATACTACACAGAAAAATGTGAATATTTGAGGCTGTAAATAACATGTTGGCTTCATTGTCCAGTTTTTTTGTAGTCAACAGAAAAATTGTTAGTTTGATTTTAGATAAGTATCCGTTCTACTCGAATTTTCAATACAGAAAAAATTAAAAATTATTAGTGAACAACATTTAGGTGATACATTTTTCTAAATTCTAATTTTATCTGTATTTTCTTTTTGTTTTAGTGTGTTTATTAATAAATGCAAATAAACATACTAACATGGCCCATGAATGCAGTAACAGTGGACATGATGATAGCATATGGCAACGCTGATGAAAACTGCAAGTTAACCGCCTCTCTCTTTATGTACGATTTCAAATACTCTAAAAAATATTGCACATATTTTTTTTTTTCTCGGAATTCACTTTCAAGGGGTAGAAACCACCTATATAGAAGACAGTAACAGTGAAAATCTCCATAAATCTCCATAAATGAAATTAAAAAATGTACATATCTATCAACCAAACTCACCCTATCCACCCAAACCAACCAACCCTCCCACTACATGCTTACCCCTTACCTAAACCAATCAACCCCTTTAACCCCAACATCAAACGCCCAACTAAACCAATTAAACCTTACCACCCTAACTCCACCCCACCCACCTAAACCAACTAAATCCTCTTACCCCCACCAACACTAACTCTCTACATAAACCCATCCAACCTAACCCCACTCACCTAAATTAGCCAAATCGTCCACCCACTCGTTATTGTAGCATTTTTTCCAATTAATGCAGTAAATTCACCACATTATTGTAATGAATGTTTTTTTCCCGATCAGTGAGAGGCAAGGAGACTCACGCTAATCAAACACCCTGAAAGTGAGAGGCAAGGGGACTTATGCTAATCAAGCATCCTAAACGCGAGAGGCATGGGGACTCACAATGATCAAGCACCCCGAACGTGAGAGACAAGGGGATTCACATTAATCAAAAAATCACCGAACTTCTTGAAGTTACGACAGTAGGTATAATGGAGTAAGGCGAAGAAAGTAATAAATTCTAGTAGAAATGCATTTTGTGTTATTTCACAATTCTGGAAATTTTTGTAAAAAAATGTGTTGGCAATTTTTCAAAAAGATTTACTAATTCCTGTCTATTCAAAACTATATAAAGATGTGCAAACAAAAATGTTTAAAAATATTATATTTGGTGTGTTTCTGCAGCAGTCTCAAACTGTTTTGAAACTATAAGATATATTCGGCCACTAAGTTGTCATGTGCTTTCAGCGAGTCTAATAAGGTCACAAATTAATTGGCCAAATATTTCTGACAGTTTCAAATCAGTCCTCAAGTGCTGCAAAAACAGAACTATTAATGCAACAAGTCATACTATGTTGAAATAGTGTAGGTAGTGTATTTAGTAGTCGATATAGATGTCATTGGTTTTATGAGCTGTTATCAGAATTATCAGATAATTCAAAGTGGTGATCACTTGTGGCTTGTGACACTGAGAACGGGTGAAGTATATTCAGTGATTGACTAAAAAGAAAAAAAAAAGAGCCACAGGCAAAAATTTTGAAATTTTCAAGGTTAAAGGGCTTTAAATGAATCTGGAAATTTTTAGTTGCATTTGCAATATTACTGAAAAGCTAACGTTCGCGAGAAGGATTTTCATTTATATTTTATAAAAAATAGAAATATTAGTTCGGCTCGTGGACTTCTGTGAAAATCTGCACACCGTATTGTTCCAAAGAAGCTTCGTGGTTACGACAGTCTCGCGTGACGTTTACAAAATTGTAAAATCCCTCCTTATTCCACACGCCCAACTTTACACCCACAATTAAACACGGCATACAGAAAAGTTTTTTTAAATAAACACTTCCACACAACCACTCCAAATACCATTTATTTCGAAACTTCCGAGCGTACATTTTGTCTTTTGACTTCCCCCTTTTTTCCACATCGAGAGTAGGCACAGGTCTCTCGCAATTTAAAAAATCCTTTTTGTTCTCAATTTTCCATCTAGAAAATAGTGTTTCCAATAAAACTGGATCATACAATTATTGATAAAAAACAAATATTGATAAAGAGCCATTATAATCGTGCACTGGGCGACGTATCGTATAAACTGTTTAAAGGCAAACGATAGGCGATGACAATGCTGCTTCAATTTCCCCATCACTCGTTCCCCCATGCCGTAGTTTACTCACGTGTTGGTCACCTCGTTGCCATGACAACCGCCATAAACAATGCTACGAAAAGAAGCAGAATGCAGACTGATTTCGATCCGCATCACTTGCTTATACTATACGTTGTATGGTACAAGGTTGATGTTTGGCTTAACGAAGGCAATGGTTTTTTAGAAGGCATTCACCGTGCAACTATTCTGTTTATTTCTGTGTATAAAACAAATAAACACAGTACACTTTCAATATAGAAGTATGTATACCTAAATTATGTATAAAATTTATATAAAATTAACAATAATATTAAATTGCACAACCAAACGGAAATTTTAGGTGAAGCGGTGCGTCACTTGCGTCACCTGGCGAGCCACCACTGGTAGTGACGCTTATATGCAAATTTTGATATTTGTAGACCATCCAGGGGCATTGCGATCGATGCCCTCATATCTAATAAATTATGTATTTATCATATTACTTATTATGTAAAATATTTTTATTACTCTTCACGACAATTAAAATAATAATTTGCGGCTTTTTAAAGCATTTTTTCTAAGATCTGATGGTGTTGATTCCGCTGCCGTCTGGCCGTGAACGGCCTAACTTCTGATGTTCTATATAACATTACATTACAGTAACAGTCAAATAAAAACGAGAATAAAAATAAAATTTACACAAGTTTTGCATTTCTATTCTACAATTTGTGTACAATTTTTCTGCTTGGATGCTACAAAAGGATCAAATAGATAAGTACATTTGCAAGAAAAAAAATCTATATTCTTACCTTGTGTTGTCGAAGATTTCTTTCCCAGAGTATTATCATTGTCGATCCATATTATTTCATACACTGTAATAATCCTGCCATTAGTTAAGGCCAAAGTATTTTCTGATATGGCTATATCCGTAACCTGGGACTCCAACTGCAGCAAATAATTGCTTTTGTCGGTTTCCAACAACACTTGACTGGCCGTCTTCTGTGTAGCCCAAATCTTCTCCGAAAAACTTTGACAAATGCTCTGTTCTTTCATTATGTAGACCGAAGTGACACAATTCACACTTAGTAGAGGTAGCCTGAGCATCACCGAACCCCACATTAGTTGTTTTATTGTACCGCTAATGGTGTTGACATTATTTAGTTCCCAGCTATCCTCAGGATTTTCTAGTTCGCTGGAATTTGGTTTCTTTGTCCAGAAATATATCCTCCCTATGTTTGTGCCTGCACAGAGAGTTTGGTTCAATTTACTGTACGATAAGCAGGTAAAAATTTCATTGACTGTATGAGATTTATCGTCGGGAGCATACAGTTTCATAGCGGTTGGCAAAACGTAATTGTCGTTTGAGTCCGTATCCCAAATACGGACAGTTAATTCACCTAAAATTATGTAGTGATAATCTTAAAATCGTTCCAATAAACCTTCTAAAACTCATTTATTTATACTATACCAGTTAAAACAGCGAGACTAGTATTTCCTGCCCAAACTAAGCCCTGACTTCCTACAGATCGGGACTGCACTCTACCGCTCAGTTTTACTTTAGCAATTTCATTTAAGTGACCTTGATAGTCGACAGAAAAATGGCCTATGGTTAAACCTTCCATCATTACAATCACAGCATCTTTAACGGGGTGATAAATTACATAAGAAAGGGGCACCCCTTCTGTATTTAAAACCTCCGCACAGGAACCGGCAGCGTTAACATAATAAATGGAACCTGTAAAATGAATAATTATTAATAAAATATGTTTTTCCATTTTATCCATATTAATTTTATTACTGTAAAAATACAATCTGATCTTTAAGTGTCATTTGCACTTACCTACTGTAAACAGTAATAACGATACAATATTTTTACCTGCTTGGGTCGCTATAAAAAAATTTAAATTATCGGCTCCATCTTGCACTTTGAATTTTCTTGCTGTAGTTTTAGGTCTCCAATTACTGAACATATCCAGAGCATGTTCATCTCCATTGACTGCTGCTTTCGCTAACCCCTCAACGTCAAAATCAGGATGATTCCTAACAGTAAGTCTAAAGGTAAGATGTGTTATGGATTCTTTCAGATCCAAGTGAAAGGATAAGTTCGTTTCGCCTTTACTGTCAATCTTCCACCCAACAACCGATCCCGTCTAAAAATTATTGTATTATTTCTTATTCCATAATTAATTTTGAATTAGCTAACTGAATCACAAGAAACAAGCCTTCCACCCTTTTCACTAAATTGCAGCAACGTGATTGGTGCTTTCTGGGGTCCAACAACATTTATAAATTCTTTTTCAGTACCATTCCATATTTTCATTTCACCATTCTCCCAACCTGTTGCAAGAACAGTTTTTTCAGGATGCCAAGCCAAAGCTGTGACCTGATAACTTCTATGAACAGGATAATTCACATCTTTCAAAGATTCTCCCTGATAAAGCAATAATTAAATATGGTAAGTGTGTAAAAGTTTATTAACCTTACGAGTTCATCAAAAATAATTACAAATCCGCCTCGATCTTGAGAAAAGCTGGCCACGGCCAAAAGGGCAGCATTTGGGTGCCATATTCCGTTTACAGAAATAGATCCCGGTTCAGGAAAACTGACAGGATTTTCAAAATACAGTGACATTACGCCTAAATTTGGCGTTTTGTTTCCAAGCAGTTGTCAGTTTCGGCTGTTGCCTAGCAACAAGACGGTCATGCCGTGCCCTCTATTAAGTCCATCGTCTACTCTACATATAAAGGAGGCCATTTACTACCACTTATTTACTAATAAGTAGTTAGGCACTTTAATAAAAATTACGTATATGTTATTCAATCTAAAATTAAAATATAAAATATGCACTAATTTACTAGTCCATGTTAATGTTGAAAATAACTGCTCATTGGTTTTGACTCATAAATTATCTGTGTAAAAAGCAATAAAACACATATTATTTGTTGCTAGGAAACAAAAAATAAAATATAATTTGACATAAGATTTCAAAATTAAGATGTGGTAATTTGACAGTACTTGCTAAAGGTTTTCATTAACTCGATGAGAAGAGTTTATTATTTACTTCAGTTTTATATAACCTATCTCTTTATTTTGTTTTACGTATTATTGTTGATAAGAGGTAATAAGGATTTAAAGCAAAATCAACCATAGCCAAAATTTTGCAAAAAATGGATTTTTCAAGTGATCCATCGGAAGAGAACAAGCTTGATAATGATTTTCGGCGAATTTTATATGTTATCAAGCAATATATAGAATATATAAATTCAAATCACCAATTGTCACTGTATCGCTCGTGGTTGGAAAAATTAAGTACGGCCAGCGCTGAAAAAATGGAACGAAATATGTATCTGTTTGAACTGGCAAGGCAGATTAAGAGTAAAAAATTGTTACCACCTTTCAATCGTCATCCACCACCGGGACCTTTAAAGAACTTACCCAAAATCAACCGTTTTCGACCAGCGGATCTGGAGGTAAAGCAACTAACATCTACATTTATAAAAAATGGGTATACTACAGGATGATTAATAAATAATAGTACAACAGTAATTGTGGAAAGCAAGAGTCAAAATATTAATGTTTAGCTCATAACATTTACCTCAAAATTTCATTAACTTAAGGTGTTAAATAATATCAATATTCCACTACCATCACAGTTAAGTGTTGTATCATTACTTGAATCACCCAGTGTAAATTATAAATAATATAGTGCGCTTCTCCGCATCAATTTTTCTTAAAAAAATAAATAGCAACATCTACAATACCATTCTTGTGCAAGTTTTTTTAAAGTTGTATATTAAAAATTGAAACACCTTCAAAGAAGAAAATTTTTCAACAAAATATTGTTTTTAACTATATTAATGTCCAATTTCGTTGCAACTAACTTGACTCCTCTTGTCTTAAAAGATTATATAGTATCATTTGATGTCTCATTTCTAAAAATATTTTTTACTGTACGGGGTGTTTCACTCAAAGAAGTTGTAAAGAAAACCGCGCAGTTGAAGAAAATTTACATTAGCTCCACTTTAACAACACTCTCTGAAGCAAAAGAAATTGGCAGGCTGATGCTGAATCTCAAATTTTATGTCGAAATAATTGGTTTATTGCGATTTAAAGTAATCACACTACAACTGTTAATTTTTTTACAAACCAACGAGTACCTATCCCAAAAAAGAGGAATTTTCTTATAGAAAAAAGATGACTATTTTCTAAAGCAGAAAGAGGGTGACTACCTTCCCGAGCTGTTTAAATTATGAAAAGTCTAAAAATATCAGTGGTTTTAGACTTTTTAGAAATTAAAAAAAAATTCATTGATTTTCTTTATTTTTACACGAGCATAATGTTAAATATTCTTTATTTACATTGAATAAATATTATCCAGAATTAACGTCCCAATTTTTTAAATAAATATCCCGCTTTTCTTTTGTCCCAAAAAATCATAAAGAACAGTTGGCAACCCTAAATAGGTGACCTTTTTTCTTATTTCAACCGCCAATATCCCGAAAGCGAAACGTTTCCGGTAAAATGTTTAAGTTTTTCTTCTTTTGGACTTGTGGATAGAGTCGACCATTAGATTTTGACAGAGTAGGCATATCATCCTGAATACTGCGAGGTATATCCACAAAGTAAGAGTACTGATGCTCTGTTTCTTGTTTTCGACAAAGTTGGCCAAGGTGTTGGAGCAGAACGCGCGTTCATTTGTGTCAGTCAGTTGAGAACTGTTGTTGTAGTGGCGTGTTGAAATGAGTGTCGCCATTCGGAATCCCGCCAACTGCGAGCGTAATCCGCTTTTTTCGTGCAAAGGACAAGGCCCCGTTCCAGATTTTTAATGAAATCAAATCTGTTTATGGGGATGGTGTGGTAAATCGTACTAATGTGTACAAGTGGTGTCGTGAGTATAAAGCTGGCAGAACGAATGTTCATGATGAACAAAAGGATTGGGCGTCCCTCAATCGTGACTTATGAAATGGTGAACAAGATCGAAGAAATGCTTCTTGGGCGACCCTCGATTGATTTTGGACGAGATGAACGCAGTGTTTCCATAAATTTCCAATCTCTTCTGCATGAAATCATTACTGAAACACGTGGTTATAGAAAATTGCATGTCAGGTGGGTACCAAAGTAGCTGAAGGATCAACACAAAGTCAACAGAATCACATCTTCATGGGAATTTCTCGAGCGCATCGAACTGGAAGGTGAACAATTTCTTGACTGTATTGTGACAGGTGACGAAATGTGGATGGTCTCTGAGACAAAAAGACAATCGATGCAGTGCATAGTGGCGACATCCATCTTCAACCTCAGCGAAAAAGTTCAAAAACGTTGTTTCGGCTCCAAAAATCATGGCAACTATGTTTTAGGACTGTAAAGGGATTCTCCTGACTGACTTTTTGCCCAGGGGAAACAATTAATGCTGTGCAGTACTGTGAAACCTTGAAAACACTACAGAAGACGATATAAAACAAGTGAAGGGGAATATTAATAAAGGGAGCGCGCTTATTACATGACAATGTATATTCCCATAATAAGCCAACACTATAAAGCTACTCTTGGATTCATTCGGTTGGAACATCATCAACCACCCCGCTCAGTGCCCTGACCTGGCACCATCTGATTTTGATATTTTCTCTTTTTTGAATGTGTTTATGAGTGGAAAAAGTACCAAGGTATCAGAAAGCTCATCCCTTGGCTGACAAAGTGCATTGAGGTTGAAATTTTTTTATAAATATCTTGCAGTTTCGATTTTTTAAAAACTGAGTACTCTTACTTTGTACTATATGCCTCGTAAACTCGAAATAGCTGTAGAGACGTTGAACAATTACACTAAATTTTCACCATATAAAAAATTTCAGAACTCAGTTCACGATAACGAACAAAGCAATGAGGAGCAAACAAATTTGCTCCATCCCGAGCATACCACTCCTGTCAAAGACTTCTCGGAACAAGGCTATTCCAACCCTCTGCAGCAATTTATAGATCAAAATCAAAGAAATATTCAGTTATCTTCTCCCCTGCAAAGTCCTTATGGACATCAGGACGACTACCTGCAAACCATATTTACGCAACCGTCTGAGTGCTACTATCATCCTTGCTACGTAGAAGATGGAAGCGAAACACCCGTAGAAACAGTCAGATCGCCTACGAAAACTAAAAAACGAAAGTCGAAGAGCGCGAGAAGTCTTCAAAAGCCATCAGTAGTAGATAATATATCAAGAGGTGTTACAGAGGAATATGAGAAGCATGCTGTAAAAGCGTTAATAAATTTAAATCCGCAGAAAATATGTGCAGAAAAGGAGTCAACGGTGGAGAAAGAGCCCTCTGTTAAGGATGATAGTTCTTGGTGCGATTTGTCGGATACCAGTCAAACATCAATCAGTATGATGGCATCGGGAGATAATGAGAAAAGTCCTCCGAAGGTTCAAGAAAAAGTCAAACAGTTTAATGGAATCTTAAAGATGTTAGATCAGCCGCAAATTCCGTACGGAAATAAAGGATCACGTAAGGTTTTAAAATAAAGACCACTGCTCGATCATCACGAGATAGTGTGAGCTTGTATTTTCTCTAGTTTCTATGATTGATGAAATATTAAATAAGACAATATTTATAAAATATGCGAGTTTGGTAGAGAAATAATGCTTTGATTTGAAAGTTACTGGCGACTCTCCATTGGCCGTCTGTGGCCAGGGGGCAGGATCAATGTTATCAGATCTCAAAGAGAAACAATTCTTTGCCTGAACTGTTATAATAGAGCGATAAAAGTAATAAATATAATGAACAATAATGATTAAATGCGTAATTAATTAGATCTTCGATTAGAGCGTCGATAGCAATGCCCCTTTGGATACCCTACAAACGACAAAATTTATGGGCAATCGTCAGCTTTTAATTTGACTTATCTGTTAGCATAGCTTATAAACTCAATATTAATTAACTGTGATTTAAATATATAGTTTGCTAAGGTATAACACATCAGTGATCAGTGTCTCGGTTGCTAAGCAATTTAGTTAAATCAAATATCTTGAAGCTTAAACCGACCTTTAATTAATAAACAATCCAGATGGTCAGATTTCTGTGATTATTCTTGCGGCTTTAGGGGAAGAGATGAAGATATGTGTTAAGTTTAATTACTAATATTAATGTTAATAAATACTTAAACTATTTTTCCCTATTATTTATACCATGGAAAAGTTAATATAGATAGGTATCTTTAAAGGCGATCTGTTATTTATTTATTTGTTTGTCATAAAGAATAAATTTTTATTTGTAATCAGCGGTGCCGTTTTCTTATTGGACGATAGACGTAGTTTAAATTTTCGCAATATAATTTAATTTAACATTTTGCCCCAGATGTTTAAAGTAAAATACGTTTCCTGGAATAATTGAAATGAACATAAAATTCAGCCAAAATTTTTTTATTTATAATTTTTGTCAAAATTGGAAATATATTAATTTGTATAAATTAATTTCAGTTTCAAATATTTGTATCTTTTAAATAAAAGATAATATCACTGCCTATTAGGGTTTCTGATTTCTCGGCCTATTTTTTTTCTCGGGTCTCGAGAATTCTCGACTAGGAATTCCCGGGAATTCTCGAATTCTCGAGAAATTTCTAAAACTTAAAAAAGTCATAATTTTGGTATTGCAATGCGAAATATAAACATGCTATTATACTTAACAATCATCATTAACATTTATTATTTATTCAGTATTTTTATTAATTACTTATGTTTCTACTTCTACTAACAAAACTAAATTAAACTTTGAGTTTCTTCTTAAAAACCTTTAACTTGTTTTTTTATTAAACACTTTCAATATACTTATGTTTATTTCAATGTTTTTGAATCGTAGTTTTCTTCCAATAATAATTATTAATAATCATTAATCATGCAGTCTTTTAATTAAATAAATAGTAAATAAGGAATTTAACCGAAGAAATCTTAAAAAAAA